TTGCCAAGTCGGGAAGTTTGGTGCTGATCTTCACGCCTTTGTGAGGGTCTTCACCGAGGGGGACGAGCTCAAAGTCTCCATCCGAGATTGGTCGGAGGAGTCCCTGCTCGCCGTCGTGCTTCATCCTGGTTGAAGCGGGTGTCCAGCGAAATGGAGTCTACCTTGGGAGGAGCTCTTTGTTCCTCCGTCTTGACGGGTTGTGGCTCTGGTCGTGCAGTAGCAGCTCTCTTGGCGGGTCGTGCTCTAGTGTTGATTGTACTTTGTCTCTTTAATGCTGCGTTGAAGCATCTCCGGGAAGTTGTGAGGTCTCCTTGGATGGTGGGGACGCGTCCTCTCTTCATGTAGAATTTCATCTTTAGATGGACAGTGGAGGGAACAGCGGTCAATTCTACCATTGTTGGTCTCCCTAGGATGCAGTTGTAGAGAAACGGGCAATCGGTGACCAAAAACAGCACCTTGGCTTGCCTGGTGGCGATCTCCTCGCCGAAGGTGACTAAGAGCTCCACGTACCCCCACAATTTGGAGTCGAGTCGTTGAAGCCCTGCAGGTCGGATCCCATGTATGGTGAGAGGTGGGTGTCGTCGAGTTGTAGGGTTCAAAAGAGTTGGCTATACATTACGTCGACAAACTCCCTTCGTCGACCAAGACGCGATGAATGTCAAAATTAGCCATCCTTGCCCTAACCAGAAGAGGGATGCTTGAATTAGGGGCCCCTCCGGGCAATTCTTCGAGGTAGAATGTGATCGGCTCCGATATGCCCTTGCGGGGGGCCGCGTCGACCAGCTCATCCAGCTTCCTCTTTGTGGAGTTTATAGATATGTCGTTGAACTCCCCGCCATTTATAACCATGGCGAAGGGGAATCTTTCCCACCTACTGTGCATGGACAGAGGCTCTTCGATATCGTTGAAGACGTAGAAGTCCTCGGGTCTTGTAACGGAGAAGGCTGTATGGATGGGGATCGTCACGTCTGATGGTCGAGCATCCTCCTTAGACTCCTTTATGTCGTGGGTATCTCGTTGAGGGGCGTCGCCGCGCTGATGCCCAAGTCTTCCCCCTTTAATGAGGGTTTCAATAACGTCTTTAAGAGGGACACAATATTCAGTCAGGTGTCCATGGCTTTGGTGATACTGGCAGTACTTGCTCCGGTCAACCTCGGGCTTAGCAAGAGCAGGACGAGGACGCCTGACGCCGCCGTCCTTGAAATCAGTATTAGCACACTCCACCAAGATGCGCTCGCGGGAAGCTGTTAGTGGAGTGTACTCAGTAAATCGCACTGCGGGTCCTCTTTGCTCGCGCGGATCTCGTGGTTTGCCATCCCTCCTCTTCTCGCTCGTTCGTCGAGGAGGGCCTGAATCTTATTGTTGTGGATTGTTGGTTGATCCACGATTCCTTGGGTCCCGGGCTCAATTTGCCGCTTCCCTCTCCTCATAGTCCATATAGGCCCTAGCCTTTTCGAGGAGACAATCGAATGTCCATGGTGGTTCGATGCCAACGGCTTTTCTAAACTCTGTGCCCGGGAGGAGTCCCCTCTCGAGCAGGTATCTCTTCATATGATTGGTGCAAGGGACCTGAATGGCCTCGCAGTTGAACCGATGAATAAACTCCCTAAGGGTCTCGTCGCTTCTCTGGACGATGGCCTCGAGGGTTGCCTCAGTCTTCGGGTGTCGACGTGAGGTAGTGAATGAGCTGATGAACTGGTTTTTCAAGTTTTTCCAGGAGGTAATTGACCCTGGGGCGAGGTTCTTATACCAATCCATCGTAGTCTTCCTTAGAGTCGTGGAGAACAACCGACATTTGATCGATCCCCCGACGTTATGATAGTGCAGCATTGCCTCGAACCCGTCGATGTGGTCGACTGGATCGGCAATACCGTCGTACTCCTTCAGATGGGGAGGTTTCTCCATACCCAGGGGAATGGGTGCCTCCGTAATAGCATGGGATAGGAGACCGCGGGGGTCGTCTTCCTCGCTTATGTCTGGAGATCGAGAAGGAGACTTATTGTAATGTGATCGTGATGGCGGCCCTGGCCGCAGGGAGGATCCCTCGGCCGGTGTCGTTGTTCGTCATTCCCCCTGTTTCTGTTTCAAGGGGGTCTTCTCTCTTGGCGTGGGGGAATGTGATCACGTCTCCTCGTATCAACGGGCTGATACCTCTCCAACGCGGGGCGTCGCCCGGTTCGTCGGGAAGAGGGGCTTCGAGAGGCATCTCGTCTACGTCTCTGCGGGGGAGATAGGGGACGGTCCTCTATCTGAAGGACAGAGGAGAATCAGGCCTCATGTGTCTTCTAGGGGCTCTTCGAGAATCTTCAAGCACCCTTAATCTCTCACCTTGTGAGAAGATCAAGTAGTTTATTGATTTATAGCCGCGAACAGTTTCCTGGTCGTGGCATCAGCGCCCGCAGGAACTGGGACCTCCTGGAACTAGTTCAGTTGGTAGTTTTGAGGAGGACGACGATCATCCTCGAGTCGTTTGGACAGTGATGACGATGAGGCAGTCAGTCAGTCTCTATATTCTGAGGGGTATGGCATGTCAGCGGCGTGGCCGTTGTTGTTGTTGTCGGTATTGTTACCGATGTTGAGGCCAGCGGGGCCAACGTTGTTGATGCTGGTGTTGTGGTCGGCGACGTTGTTGTTGACGTCGGTGGGATGGACATCCAGGTTGTTTTCTGCAGTGAAATCAGCCATGACAGTTAAAAAGGAGTTGGATTAGCTTTTGTCTTGGATGAATGAAAGACGGGGAAGTTGTGTTTCCCACAGACGGCGTCACTGATCGTACCTGACCAGAATGGACCGTCACGGCTTACGTTGAGCAGAATTTGAGAGTGAGGTGGGGGATACCTGCAAGACACTCCGATGCCAAAGTGAGATTCAGAATGAGCAAGCAAGTAAGAGAGTGAAAAATATTCAATACATGACCCTCTCGAAAGAGGGGGTATTTATAGCCCCCGGTGCTGGACCAAGGTCTCCTCATTGGGCTGGTCAAGCAGGTCTAAAGTGGAGACTGTCAGATCTTACGTGAGTAGTGGGGACCAGCACGTGGTCCCCCACCTGGATGACTTCTTCCACAAGATCAGGAGGATGTGGATGCGGTCTTTCCGGGGCCACGAAGACTTCGTGATATTCGAAGACGTTGATAGTCAGTCCTACGAGGAGGATGCTCGTGAGGTGCTTCTGCTCGTCGTGGATGCTCCCCGCCAGACGCAAGGTCGTGTGAAGGGTTAAGTATTGGTCACGGAGAGGATCGAAAGATGACCTCGAGGTCCTCCTGACCGACGATGATCTTCCTAAGACTAATTGGGTTTATTCCTGTGTGATGAGGTTGCCTCCTTGCGGGGAATGTAAGTTGTTGCTCGACGCAGTCAAGGGCAGAATTGGCCAATATACCTTAACCGACATAATTGGGTTGAACCTCACATAAAATTGAACCAAAGACAGGCCCAGTCTAAAACACTAATATCCTTATTATCCGACTCATTTTCATACTTCGTAAGTGAAAAAAATCAATTACAAGCCGAATTTTATGTTACCAATGCCTACATATTAGTTTTTTAAAATATTTTTACACTATTTGACATGTTAGTTGAAAGAATATTTTTAATATTTCAAAAAAATATCTAGTTATACGAAAACTCTCATAGTTCAAAGACTATTTATAGAATTCAAACTTAATTCTTTTATTTATTTATTTTTATTTCTCATCGGGATAGTTTTTTATTTCAATAACGTTGATATTAAAAAAGAACACATAGAAGAACTCAAGGTTCAAACACCATTTATGGAATACTTAAAAATAAATAAATAAATGATAAAATTAATTATTTTGAACTACTAGCGTAGTAACTTCGCATTATAACCTTAAGATACCTCAGTAACTAGTATATCACCTATCTATGTAGTTTTTTACCATTTAAGTTGTACTAATACACGAGGTTTTAAACTCTCAAATTACCTCACTAAAGTGAGTTAAACCGCTTCTTAACTTTCTTGATAAATTCTTACGGTTCTAAACTGGACCTGGACCTGCTCTTAATCCAAATTTATATAAGGCCCAATCCAGCCCGCGCCATCAAAGACCAGCTGATTGGGTCAGACTTCGACGTAGTCGGACAATAGTATCCACTCTTTGAGAGGACGCTGCTTCGTCATATGAGAACGGACACAAAGACGCGGGAAGGCGCATCACTCGACAAGAGGATCTCGAGAGCATCCCCTGGCTTCTCCTCGAGCAAGACTACTCCTCTCGCACGGCCTCTGACTGGCGGGAATCTTGCTCGACAGACAGAAGTACCCCACGAGCATCCTCCTCGTAGAGCTGATTATCAATGCTTTCGAACGTCACGGAGTCCACTTGACCCCGAAAAACCCACATCCATATTCTCCTGGTCATGCGAAAGAATCCATCCAGGTAGGGGTACGTGCTGGTTCCCACTACTCACGTAGAAACCTAGCAATCTCCACTTTGGACCTACTCGACGTAAGCTGTGACAGTCCATTCTAGTCAGGTACGATCACTTACAAACTAAGATAAAATTGATAAAATTGATAAACTCCTAAACCCTAAACCCTATTGATATTTTATTATATGGAGATGAAATGATAAATTATTGTTAGTTTAAACTCGTGTAATTTCCCTAAACTCTATCTTTGATAAACTTGTTTAGCAGGAGATTTAACGTGGAATTTTAAGTCCAGTAACGCATCATTCTTGAAGCTATGCCATCAAACTGACCAACTCCCAATGCACAGAAATATCAGCAAGAATGAAATTATGACCAAAACATAATGAAGCAAACATAAAATGATGAGTTTTGATTATTAATGCGCTAATGTTGGCATACTTTGTTGATCAAACTTTCAAAACATGTTATAACATTCCAGACATATTTGACCATTCAACATTAACAAGACAATCTTAACAACCAACCTCAGTCTAGAGTTGTTTGCGGCTCCAAAGATCACCGAAAAAGTAACAAATAAAAGGTCTCCACAGATCACCATCCTCACTTTGGATAGAGGATATCATAGTGACCAGGACGGTATAGCAATGTGATGAAAGGATTCTTCTTTTCAGAGCTATCACTTGAGCTCGGGAGATCACCAGTAGCTGGAATGAAATCATGATGATTTACACTCACACCGCCGGTATCGCATGAGCTGCGGTCGAGGTACACAACACGGATGGGAACACCCAATGCATCTGAAAGGGCAGTAATGTGCACATGGTCGCTTTCTTCTCCCATTGGTTCAACAGCTGATTTGCAAAACTGAACCACAACAACAGGAAAGAGATGGCGAATATTAAAATCGGATGACTAAAGCCAACTTTACAAGCAATTTGTCGCAGGATGGAAAAAATTCTTAGCATTGAAACCAACCTGCTCAACTGTTGTATTGGTTAAGCCCATTATGAAAGGTTCAAAAAATTCTGAGCGGTTTTGAATTGCAGCAGATGTAACAAATCTGAAGAACATAACAACTAAAGAAAACATTTTGTCAAGAAAAATGAAAGTAATGAGATCAGGACATGAGACAGGTCTAAATCACTCACCGTAATCAGATACAGACTGATCTCGGCTTCTAAGCACGAGCTCTTCATGACTGTGATGATATAATATATTCAAATATAATAATTAGGGCTAGATAAACAGAAAATTGTGATAACTGAGTATTCTGAGAATACATCATGCTTCCAGTTCAGAATTGTCAATGCAAATTCATGGTGATTGGTGAAGGAAAAAGCTAACACCTTATGGAAGTCTCTTTCCCTTGAATTACATCTTCCAGCTGCTCAAGGAATAGCTGAAATTTTTAACAGTGAGATAGTAAAAGGTAAATTTATATATCCTTAGATGAGGAAAATAATTGTAACTTTGTAAGTAAGCTTATTAACCTCTGGATGCACCCCTACATATTTAAAATTACTATATCTGCCTGGGTACCAGATGCCCAGTTTATAGCATTTAAAAAAAAAATTAACAATGGGGCATTGGGGCCTGTTTGGATTGATTTATTCGAGCTTATCTTATGCCATAAGTTTTGTGACACTGTTTGGAAGAGCTTACTAAACCAGCTTATAGCATTATTCATATATTTTTTTGAACTTATTTTTATAAGTTCTTCTCAAAGATAGTTTATGAAAACAATTTATAGCACATAAAATAATTTAAATTTATTTTATCTTTTGTTAGAAAAATAGCTTATGCAAGCTTTTTCATAAGTGCTTATTTTGATAAGCCTGTATGCTATAAGTTCCAAATAAGTTGTTTATTCAAACAGGCCTAATGTATTCTTGAGAACTATAAGCCAGAGAAGAACTATAAGCCAGAAAATTTTCCAAATTCTTCCCTTAAATAGAAAACTTTATACAGAATTAAGATTGGATTGAATGCAGACTTTACTTTTTCTATTGTATGATGATTTCCAAACTTTTTGAAAACTCGCCCCCATAACATAACTCTGATCAGCCAATTTCTTATGTCCCATAGCTCCATCATCTATGGTAACATTAAGAGGCCTAAATTTTGTTGCTACTCTAGTTATTGGTTTTCTATATGATATCACAATAACCCTGCCTCAAAGTGAACATCCTTTATTGTCATTTCAAATGGAGAGAAGGATATAAAGAAAAAGTGACATGACATCGAAGATGATAATAAGCCATTGCATAATAATTAGGATAATTTATCTCATTTCTTTAAAGTGTAGAAAACATAAGTTTAAAAAATGAACTGCACAGATGGAAGATCTATTCAAATACTTCCCATAGTACAAGGCTAGATAGACAGAAGGTAGATGTGGAGTCATAGTAGCTACTTTCGACTAGCCTAGAGGTTAGTATAGATTACTATGTATACCCAGCACAATTTGCTATGTTTGGAGCATTTTTTGCAAATTTAGTCAGTATATTCGTTTACGCAAGAAAATCTGAGATATTTGTATAACATAAGCAAAAATATAACTCCAGAAACACAAGAAACGAAGAATGCAGTTGATAAGTTACCGTAAAAAAATCTTCAAAAGTCAATTCTGCATAACCCAAGGTCTGAAGTGCTTTTCTACTTCTCTCAATATTGGCTTTGATGCGATCAATTTCTGCTTTGTCTTGAGCTTCCAAAAGATGCTCCTAGACAGAGAGATAGAGAAGATTAATTTATTGACTAAAATTATTGGAAATTTGGAACGCTTTATTCCATACTCCCTAAGACCCAAGCCAGAATGTCCATCCAATTTTAAAGTAGAAGATGCTTCTAAACTGGAAACAATAAAACCTACAAGGTATGAAAACATAAAGCCTCGAAAGAAGCAGTTTCCATCTCCCCGAGTACGCCGAATGGCAGCATATTGCTCAGCAAGCACCTGCATTAAGAGGAACAAGAGAAAGGTTCAAGAAATATGACAAGTTGACAACATGCTAGGATATGATACGATACGACACAACACAAAAGATAATAGAGCTAAAAGTTTGACCAATCAAACCTTGATTTTCTCCAGTAAGATAGGACTGCCAGATTGATATTCAGCAGCCAAGCTAGATAGTGGTTCCTGCCAATTTACCACATGAAATCTTTGTCCTTTACAATTTCTAAAATAAAATTGTATTGCATCCCCTCCATCCACTAAAGAAATCCCGAAGATTGACAAAAATAACAACAATATGACACCTAAAGTAATGCCATTTCATGATCTATAAGCTATTTCAATAACAAAAGATAAAATAAACTTAGAATGTTTTTCTATAAATTAACATAAGCTATCTTCAGAACTTGTGAAAACAAGCTAATAAGTTTTCCTAAACAGTTTCGCAAACTTATACCCTCAATCAATTAACCCTTAATTCTAGATAATCAACTAAACCAGTTTCAAAGAGTTAGCCATTTAGCCTTACCTTGTCACCCACATACGGAAGCTTCTTGGCTTCATCATCATGAATAGAAGACGTCTGCTGCATTACATCCTCATCCTCAAAATCATTCCACCCACAACCTGGACCATCCTCATACACCACTTCCCCATCATCCAAAACCGGTTCTTTATTCCGCATTTTTTCCTCTTAAACCAATTCAAATTTCTTCACAACAACACAGCCAAAGAACACAACAACAATATTCATCATATTTGACCCAATCATAAAATTGCGTTTAAATCAATAACACAATCAATTATAAATTCTTGATAAAGAACATTCACAACATACTCAAAAAACTACGCGAAAAATCGAAATCAAAAGACGAAATTCGCAGGGTTTAGAATCTTGCGTAGATCAAATTGTTGATTGTTTCATGGATCATTTGCATTGAGGAAGAAAGAGGAACGCGAAATGGGGAACTTTACCTTGCGCGAGTTGAAGATTGAAATCACTGAGTGAAGTGCAAGAGCGGCAACACTGAACACGAATCCCTAAAATCTCGAAAGATTTATTTAATCGCAATGCTAAACGCACCGGTGTTAGCGTTTTATACCCCCACAAACGGTTATGTTACAATGGGGGATTTCCTTCTAAAGCAAATTATTATTATGGACTCTAGTAATTAAAAATTATTTCAAATTTATAAGGAAATCATTTTGAGTTTATATTTCCAAATTAAGGTGTAACTTCAAAGTACTAGTACTCTATAGTCTCTTTTATATCTTCCAAATCTTTGATTATTTACTATAACTAAAACATTATCCATATAAATTAAAATAGCCATAAAGAAAGAATTATTTTCATTGATAAATGAGGAATGGTTTAGAAGGTAATTGAGTAATATCTTTTTCAAATTAAAGTAGAGGAAACTTTGGAGAACCATTGCCTATTTTATTGTTTTAGTTCATAGATGGATTTAAACAACTTACAAATATTGTTAGTACTATTAGATGTGATGTCAAGAACTAGTTGTATATAAACCTCTTCATTTAATTTTCAATGTAAAAAGGCATTATGAATATCTATTTCAAAATTAAACCAATTTTTAGAAGATGCAATAATAATCAAATTGTTAATGTTTTTAATTTGACTAAAACTTTTTTTGCAACCAATCTAACATTATTTCTTTAAGTGGATCTATTATAATTGTAGTTTATCGAGCCTATGTTGTTTCTGCGATGGAACCTGTTCCAAAATCGCAATCAAAAATTAGGATTTTCAGTTTCGTTAAAATCACGGTGGGAGTGAATTAGAAAGCGTAAATGACAAGATAGACGTGGATTTAAACATATTATTAATGTATTTATTTGCATCTAATAAGTTTCTTATGTGGTGGTAAATTTGTGATGATTCATTTTTTATTAGGTGTTATAATTTGTGCATTCACGATCTTTAACCAATTATCATACTCAATATTCCATATGTTTCATCCCAAATTAGTTGTCATATTCGACACTTTCATATAAATTAAGAAAATATAATCAATGAAAGAGAGAATAGTGATTTTATCAAATTATCTTTATTAACTATTGTTGTATTTCAATAGCATTAATGTAAAGTAAGAAAACAATAAATTAAGAGTATTAATTAGAGGATATAATTGAAAGATAAAAAATTAAAATTGCATTGATAAATCAAAGTGACTAATATTTTGGAACAAATAATTTTTTTAAACGTGACAAGTATTTTAGGATAGTGAGGGAGTAGATTGTTAAGTATTATGTTTTATATGATCAAAAGTATCATATACAAATTTGGAGTTTAAGGAAAACGTGTAATGTGATAAAGCAAATTAAATATGATATAAGTGTTTAGTGTTACTAATATTTACCACCATGTTGCATTTTAAAATATTTTAAATAACCAAGAGGCTTTTTAATCCCGGTGGAATTCTTGAAAATTCGCTTGCAAGAGTTATATTGGTCACAATTAGATGTTGCGCAAAGAAATTCATATTTTGGAAAGAAATAGAATCAACATACCTTGAATTTGATCACAAGAGATAGAATTGAAAGTAACATTGTGCATTAAAATATTAGGATCTATGTATTCATTATAGTGAACATGGAGATCAAAAAATAATGCAAAATCATATAAAATAGTTAAATTGAAAACATACGGAAAATAATTATTTTTAAAGTAGGGAAAGATGGATTCATGTAAAATCAAATTGTTAACGTTTTTAATTTGACTGAAACTTTTTGCAACAAATCTAACATTATTTCTTTAAGTGGATCTATTAGGATTGTAGTTTACTGAGCCTATGTTGTTTCCGCAATGGAATCTACTCCAAAATTGCGTTTATCAAAAATTAGGATTTTCAGTTTCATTAAAATCACGGTGGGAGTGAATTAGAAAGCGTAAATGACAAGGTAGACGTGGATTCAAACATATTATTAATATATTCATTTGCATCTAGTAAGTTTCTTATGTGGTGGTAAATTTGTGATGATTCATTTTTTATTAGGTGTTGTAATTTGTGCATTCACGGTCTTTAACCAATTATCATACTTAATACTCCCTCCGCTCCATCCCAAATTAATTGTCATACTTGACAATTTCACATAAATTAAAAAAATGTAATCAATGAAAGAGAGAATAGTGATTTTATCAAATTATCTTTATTAATTATTGGTGTATTCCAATAACATTAATGCAAAGTAAGAAAACAATAAATTAAGAGTATTAATTAGAGGATACAATGAAAAGATAAAAAAATTAAAATTACATTGGTAAATCAAAGTGATTAATATTTTAGAATAAATATTTTTTCTAAATGTGACAAGTATTTTAGGACAGTGAGGAAGTAGATTGTTAAATATTATATTTTATATGATCAAAAGTATCATATACAAATTTAGAGTTTAAGGAAAACTTGTAATGTGATAAAGCAAATTAAATATGATATAAGTGTTTAGTGTTACTAATATTTACCACCATGTTGCATTTTAAAATATTTTAAATAACCAAGAGGCTTTTTAACCCTGGTGGAATTCTTGAAAATTCGCTTGCAAGAGTTATATTGGTCACAATAATGATGTTGCGCAAAGAAATTCATATTTTGGAAAGAAATAGAATCAACATTACCTTGAATTTGATCACAAGAGATAGAATTGAAAGTAACATTGCGCATTAAAATATTAGGATCTATGTATTCATTATAGTGAACATGGAGATCAAAAAATAATGCAAAATCATATAAAATAGTTAAATTGAAAACATACGGAAGATAATTATTTTCAAAGTAGGGAAAGATGGATTCATGTAAAATCAAATTTTTCTGAATGATTCTAGCATTTAGGTTAACATTAAAGCATAAGTCAAAGATCCAGAAAAATTAAAGCATAAAAAATAAGAGGATGATTATATAACATTTCAAATGAAATTTTGTAGTTTAAAATAGAGGTAAAGATTATTTAATAAAGAAAGTGAGATGTTGTAAAGTTAAAGACCAAAATGATTCGACAAATTAGCACGAAATAAAAGAGTTTTAAAATATTAAGTAAATATTTGTGCGGGGTCTTATCAACTTCAATCTCTTATATATCTATTATTCTATTTTAGCACATCCATAATAGATGGGTTGTCATCATCAAAAAATAGGCATAACGTAATTCTATGTGTTGTGCATGTAATATCGTCAAATGATTTTGATGATGATAATTCTTCAAGTGGTTTCTGATGATGACATCTAAACAAAGAAGAATATATATCAAGTATTATCGGACAAATGTTTCAATTATTCTAGTTATAATTAGGAAAATAGGAGAAGTGGGGCCTTGAGAGGAAGATAACATTATAAGAGAATAAATATGTGGGGGTGAAGAGTGATTTATCAATAGTTGAGGGGAAAGTTGTGAGATAAATAAAATAAATAAAATATTAAGTTTTATTTGGATTAAATAGAAAAGTGGAGAGAACAAAAGAGTTAATATGTGATTTTTATAAAAAGAGGCAAGAAAAGGGGGAGAGAACCATAGGAAGCTTTTGAAAGAAGAGGATGGAAAGCTCCATTATCAAAATTTTCAATTTTTCCTGAAAAATTGAGGTATGGGGAATTACTTATCTATGGATGTAAATTGCATGAAGGGTAGTGAGGAATCCTCACCCCCTTCTTTGTTTTCCATTATGTATCTCCATTGTTGATGCTTTATGTGTTTTGGAAGAAAGTTGTGTAAAAACCTATTTGTTTGTAGTGATCTATATGAAATTTGTGTTCTAATTGTTGTTGAAATTTGTGTATGGTGTGTATATGTGAATCTGAAATTAGATGTTCATATTCATAGATTTGATATGATGAATATATTCTTAGATTTCTGACAAATTGGTGAATTAGGGGAGTAATCAGTGGGTGATATAATAAATATGATATGAAATATGTATGTTGAATTTTATGTGATTTGAGTGGTTTTAGGTTGAAACTGGAGCTTTGATAGGGTTCCAATGGTGGAATTGTCGTTTCTGGTTTTGTTGTTCTGGGCGTTCTCGCTGAGCAAGGATGGAGTCTCACCTAGCAAGACTTCACTTAGCGAATGGGGGGTTTCTCTAAGCGGGATGTTCAGTGTGAGATTTTTTTAGTTTTTGACTCGCGCTTAGCGAGCGATGACTGTGCTCAGCGAGGATGACAATGCATAGTTGATCGTTTCGAATCGATTTTTTCATATAGTTCTGTTTTGACGCATGTTTAGTACCATTAGATACAAATTGGTATTATTTGGTACGTTCGATGTTGATTGATGCACATATTAATTATTTTACACAATTTTAACAATAAATGTTGAGTTTCATGGTGAGTGGTCATGAAAGGGTGAATTATTGAGGTGTGTTGAGTCTAGTTCGAAGAGGAACCAGTGGTGGTTATTGCAACTGTATATTGTTGTATGTCATGCATCATATGTGTCGATGATATATGTACGAACTTTGTTCCAATGATAGGTCACTGATTCAGAAGGGGGATCAATGACGAGTGGGGTTCGGAAGGAAACCCGGTTTGAAGAGGAATCATTGGTGAGTAGACAAAATCAATAATATAGCTTTGATATCCATAATTGGTACCACATGCATTAGAGTCGAGGTGTTGATCGCATTGCACGCATATTTACATTGTGAATTGGTTGTTATTATGAGTGATTCAT